GTGTTTTATATTAATTATAACTTCTATAACCTTAAATATATTTATTATTTTTATTATATTAGGGTATTTTATGGACTGCCTGTATAAATCAATGTTAATCTTAATTGAAAAACTGATTGAACTAGACGCTTTGAATTCATTTACCGTTTTTACCCCTTGTACCCGGGATATGGTCTGTCGACTTGTAATTTTTGGTTACTGTTTAAACAGTTTAAAAGTAATTTTTATAATTCAAATTTTGCTTTTAATGTTGAGTTTTAAGTCATTTTAACTTTAATGTTATTCATATAAAACTATTATTCAAATTAAATTTTATAAAAAGTATGGATTTTTAAATAATCTATATAAAAATTAATAAAACATTGTATTTATATAATCAAATAAAACAGTTTATTGAGTATAGGTTTTAAGATTTATAATAATCATTTTAAATTATAGCAGTGTAGTCCATTAATCATTATTTTACTTTGATTTAAAAATAATATCAAATGGTTTGGGAAACTGTAACCACAAATTAACAATGTCCGGCTCGAGTACATCTGGTGTTGGATCACCATGCTCGGAATGCAGTTCAATGCGATACTCACTGGTCAATTGAATAAACCTGACCAGGACCAAAAATAGATCATTAATAGCCAACGATTCACCCGGGCATACGCGGCGACCGTAACTGAACGGCATATAAGCCGCGAGTTTTGTTTGAATAAATTGACCATGTTCGTCAAGAAATCGTTCTGGCTCGAATTTGTCTGGATTGTTCCAGTGATTTGAATCTGTCATAATTGCCCCTTGGTGTAATACTACCTGGGTGTTTTGGGCTACGGGATGTTCACCTATTTAAATTGATTGTATAAATAAGATTTTTATAAATAACATACAATACGCATACCTATCTTGCTATCTACTAATGCCTTATGAAATACACCAATCGGTAGAGGATTCTTGTGCCGCAAAATTTCTGATACAAACGCCAGCGTATAGTTGAGCCGTGACTTGTCCTCAACCACTGGCACCCGATCGCCGATCTCACGGCTAATCTCCGCGCGTAACTTATCCTGATATTCAGGCTTATATGCCATGACTAAAAGTAACCACTGGAATGTTGTATGGGTTGTTTCGGTGCCCGCTATTTATGTAAATTAAAATGCTAATAATTTAGTTGACAAAACTTTATAACAATATTACCCATAAACAATTCAATTAAAACCGCCGGTAAGTTATCATCAGTAAAATAGGGTGCTGTCTGTTTGTCATCGGCAATGGCCTCGTGTTTGGCGGCGATAAGTATATCACAAAAATCGCGCAAATTTTTGCTGTCATATGTTTTGTCGTGTTTTTGGTATATATAACGCGAATAATTCATCACTTCATCAAAATATTGTTTGTATTTAATCAATGGGTTGGCCATAAAATAGCGCAGCACTGGTATAAACTCGTACAAGAACAGTGAGTTACCAAGATCTGTTTGAAAGTCTGTTGTGACGTATTTAAATTTTTTCAATTCAGGTTGCTCGATGTCAAATCTGTAATCAAAGCAAATTGTTATAATAATCTATCATTCTAATTAATTTATTATATATTAAAATAGACTATTTACTTTTGGCTAAAAACAATTGATCCCAAGATATTTGCAAACATATTGTAAACGTAAAGTTTGGGTCGAAATGGTTTACCGATGCCTTCGGTGGCGACTATTTTGTCAATTATTTCGCTTACGTTTTCTGCCACCACTTCAGACAATGCATTTGTTTTGGCGTATTTGCTGTTATATAAAAATACAATGTTCAATATGGTAGATATGTTTCTCATAATAATACATTCTTGAATTTTGTTTATTGTAATAATTTAACATTTATAAAAATGAACATTTGAAATTTGTTATAAATATATTTTAATTGATAAGTTTTTGTATTAATTTATAATGATTTGTATACTGTTATGTTTGATTGTACAATTGTTTAATTGTATAATACCGTATAGTGGTGTGAGATATCCTGCGTAAACTTTCCCAACTGTGGCCGTAATCATCAAAAATAACAGCTCTGTGTTTGTCATTTGAAAATATGCTTCCTGGTAAAATTAACAATTTTTATAGACATTTAATAAATGTTACAACAGTGGTTAGTTTAAAATTTAATGTGGTTATATTTTGCAATCACATAAATAATATATTTACCAATTAAATTACTTAAGTGTTCAACACTAATTTAATTATAAATATAAATTAAATTTAAAAAATTTAAAAACTTATTTTACTTACTATGGGAAATAAATAACTGAGTTTAAGTTTATACAGTTTTTACATAAAATAGCAAATTAATTGTATTATTTTTACTAATTAAATAACAATCAACCATAAATTGTTTTTATTCTTTAATGAAATCAATTATTTTTAAATTTATAAATATTGTTACAGTTAGACTTAGTTATAAAAAGATTGCATTTCAAACAAGTTGCTAATTGACTAATTGATATTGGACAAAATGGCAACAATTTTTGTTTTTGTCATTGTTATTTGTAAACTATTGTCAAACAATTAACTTTTGTAATACAACGTAAAATACGTAAAGGTATAGTAACTTGCCTGCCCAATTGATAAATAAAATGTAATTTTCACAAATCATTTTAAACATCATTGACTATAACATTAGAAGTGCTGTCTTATCGTTAAACCCATCAATAAATTATTATTATTTTATTTGATTCTCTGATAGTATAAAAATACTATTTTAATGAATCAATTAAATAATTTAATTGTTCTAAAGTGCTTTATAATGCTTGAATAAATTTTAATGATACATAAAATAGAAACTTAAAATATCGCATAAATTAAATTCAATAACTATGAATTATTTTTGATTAACGATACATTTTTAATATTGATTATGCACATGATGCTGGCAATTGACCTTGACGCATTGTTTTTATTTATAATTATTCTTTTACCTAATTGTGATGCTGGTCGACCAGTAAATTCACTTTTATTGAAAGCCTCCCTGGCTAAATCCAGATCGCATATAAACACGAATGGTAAGGGACCGATCCATAGGGTAAACACAGGGCCGTAGATCTTGCTCAATTTTACAATCTCCTCATTCCAATGGGTTGTGTAATTACGAAACACTATTAGTTAAGTTAAATTGTTTAAGATAAATAATTTTTAAAATTTTTATATTCATTTTAAACTGCATTAATATTTTTCAAATGTTTGATAATTGAAAGTATGAAAACATACCAAATATTTAATTCATGTAGGCTAGGTAAGTTATACTTACTAAGTACATTGCCAATAAGTGGTAATGGTATGGGACCAGGTGGGTAGTTATATCGTTTAGCGTAGAATCGCGCGATGTAGTAAACCACCAGGCCAATTATGGCGCTTACACCAATGGTCTTTATAAATGTTCCAATACTATTAAAATTAAATAATAATTATTATATCAAAACAAACTAAGTTAATATTTATTACGTGAGTAAATAAGTGAATATAAGAGGGAAAGAGAGAGAGAGAGAGAGAGAGAGAGAGAATATTTACATTGTTTGATTATCCATTATATTACAATTAATAACACTTTATGTACAAAACATAAAATATAATTTTAATCATTTTTACATAAAACATTTATGTAAAATCAAACATAATACCCTAGTTAGCAAATTATATTTATCTATTTCCCTATAACCTGATTAAACTAATTTAAAATTAAAAACAATTTGTTATCATATAAAATTATTAACTAAAACTGCTTTTGTAATCATGATAAATAATATTATAAATATTAAAGTTAATAACTTTATATAAAATTGCAATTACTTTGATAGTAGCTGATAAATAATTATTATTTAAAAATGAAATATAAACATTAATTATTTAAATAATTTACACACATTTATGCTATATGTTAACCACAATTAGGGTATCGCTTAAAGAATAAAGTTTAAATAATAAAGTATGCTTATGCAATTTTTTGGGTAGTAACTATCAGCCGAATAGATCTTGCCACTATATTTGTTTTTCATTAAAATATTGAATTATTGACATTAAAATTTTTAATATTTTGTATATCCATGTTAATCAGTGCAATGTTTACGCAAATATTATAAACATTTATAAATAAAGTTAATGATTTTATAAAACTTTATAATGTAAATACGTTACAATTTATATAAAATTTTATTGTATTGCTAAATAAGATGTAATTTTTAAATGTAAATACTTGTAGACAATAGAATACTGTATAATGATACACGAGTTTTTAAAATATTGTATAAAATTAATAAAAGTCAACGTTAATCTTATCAAAATTAAGTTTTAATAAATTGTGACATTTATTATTAGGAGCACCAAAAGTGAAATAATAATTAGAATTATAATATAATTTTGGCACATTATTTGCTCCTTTACCATTTCTTGTAAACCTTTATATTTTGCATGCTTACATTTAAAAATTATGATATAACTTATTGAAAACAATTCAAAATTTTAAAATGCATAAAATTAATTATAATCACAATTATTTATTTGTTTTTAATTGATTTGCTATTTTGCTTAAATAAAAATTTATTTTAAACTCATTTATTAAATACATGCCAATATTTATAATAAATAATACATTATATAAACAGAATGTGTGAGAGAGAGAGAGAGAGAGAGAGAGAGCAATTGTATTACCTTAATATATCAAGCATCATTAATATAATTGATTAATTAATATGTAATTAAACAATTGATAATAATACAATTAGTCCTTTTAACAATTTTGTTTATTGAAACTTTCACTAATACAAATAATTTTAAATTGAAATTTCAATTAAACATGAAAGATAAAAACATAATAATATCACCTAATACAATTAAGGAACACCAATACACTGTTTATCATTAAATTAATACTTGGTTAACACACCTAGACTAAAAGTATTTATTTCCCTTTGTTTGAGTAAAATGTTTTTTATAAAAAATATAAAACGAGTTATGGTGTGTATTGATTGCATAGTAATTTAAAATAACCTTGTATGGCATTAAACATTTATAATGGCGTGACCTTAACAATTTAGTATAAGATTAATGATGATTACATGGTATGATCACAAATCTTAATAAGATGTTCATTATTGAAACTTGATTGAATTGTTTTTAAATAAATAGGAGGATATAAAATAATATGAAACTTTTATTTATTAAAAGTAAATTAAATATTATAATTTAATAATATTATATAATATATAAATGCATTATTAGTTTGCATGCAAATTATAATTTATTGAGATAACAAAATAATCACTTTAAGTTTGCTTTTTTGTGCAAATTTATTGCAACTTAACGTTATTACATTTGCAACGGGTACATTCAAAAATTCAAACTAATAGAAATCAATTAATTAAATAAAAAGTATTTTATCATTTTGTTTTTAAAACAATTTTAAACTGTTTAGGAAATTGTATTAATAAATTAATTGGATCGGGGTCAAGATCTGCGCTATCACCATGTTTATTGTAAAATTCTATGCGGTAGCTAGATGTTAACTGCATAAACCTAACTAAGCTCAAAAATAAGTCAGTGATGGCCAACTGTTCGCCGGGACAAATACGGCGCCCACAGCTAAATGGTATATAAGCTGATTGTTTTGTGTCTAGAATTTGACCATGCTCGTCCAAAAATCGTTCGGGCTTAAATTGGTTTGGCTCGGGCCAGTATTTTTCATTCATAAGAATACCAGCCTGGTGTAGTACGACCTGGGTGCTTTTGGGTATGTTATACGGACCTAACCATATTTAGTCATATAAAATTTAAATGTCATAATCAGTATACCTAATACCATTTATTAATACCTAGTTTACAATCTACAAGTGCCTTATGAAATAGGCTTAGAGGTGTGGGATTTCTAAAGCGCAACATTTCCATCACAAATGCCATATTATAGCATAGTATTAATTTGTCCTGAATTACAGGCACTTGGTCACCAATCTCCCTGCTTATTTCGTCGCGTAGTTTATCCTGGTAATCTGGATAAACAACAATATATAATAATATCCATTGAAATAAAGTTTGAGTAGTTTCAGTGCCCGCTATTTAAATAAACTTGATTATAAATAACGCATAATATTATATAAAGTTGTAAAATTTATAAAATTGTTTATAACATTCATCATAAACGAAATGAACATTCTAAATTAACTTGCCCGAAAACAATTCAATTAGAGCGACTGGTAGATTATCGTCGGTAAAATAGGGTGCCGTCTGTTTGTCCTCAGCGATGGCCTCGTGTTTAGCGGCGATAAGTATATCACAAAAATCTCGCAAATTGTTAGAATCATGTGTTTTATCATGTTTAATATATATCTCTCGAGTATAAGCTAGCAATTCCTTAAAATAGCGCTTGTATTTAATCAATGGGTTGGCCATAAAATAGCGAATCACCGGTATAAACTCGTATAGATACAGCGAGTTACCCAGGTCAGTTAGAAAATCAGTAGAAATGTATTTAAACTTGCGCAACTCAGTCTGCTCTATATCAAATCTAGAATAATAAATATTTTTATTAATATATAAATTGATTAATATAATTAATTAGCTTATAAATAATAAATTAAGCTTATTTACTTTTCACTAAAAACAATCGAGCCGGCAATATTAGCGTACAAATTGTAGACATACAACATGGGTGAAAATGGTCGATCAATACCCTCGCGGTCAATCATTTGGTCTATCATACGTTTAACGCAATGGTTCACAAGTGTAGGTAATTCTTTAGATCTAACATATTGCCTAATTAATATGTTTTATGATTTATTCATGTGTTATAATAAATTATTGTAATATTATATTACCTTATTGCTTTATGAGATACGCGCCGTAAACTCTCCCAGCTATGTCCATAATCATTAAATAATATGTCGCAATGTTGTTCATTGTTAAATATACTCCCTAGGTCATATTTAACATATAATTTGTTAAATTAAACATGTTTATTATGTTTTGTTATATAAAACTAAAGATATCTTTATTATTATGCAAATTTATTTGCCTACTAGAGCAACCAAAAAATGAGTCATATAATATGCAGACTATACAAAAACCATTAATTAGTCAGAAAATCATAGCACAACTAATGCTTTAAAATAAACACATAGTTGTAATAGTCATTATTATGCTCAAAACTATGAAAAAAGCATCAAAAAGCATCCGATCGGTTGCCCTATTGCCTACCTATTTGCGAATCAGGGCGGCCAGTAAATTGAATTTTATTAAAAGCCTCCTTGGCCATTTCAATATCACATATAAACACGAATGGTAAAGGACCAATCCATATGGTAAACACCGGACCATAGATTTTGCTTAATTTACTTACTTCCAGATTCCAATGCTTTTGAAAGTTACGAAATACTAGAATAAGAAATATAAATAAAAGTATATTTTATACATTTAAATCTGAATGACAAAAATATGATACATTAATACAGGAATTTATATGCACTAGGTGGGTTGCATCCATTTATAAATGTTATTAAGACAATTAATATGCATGAATAATAAATGCATGCTTTTGTACAGTTTATAA